ATAGGGTAATTTAGAGAGAGTAAGTGATTGGAAATGTGAAATGTGTTTGAGGAGATAGAAAATCAGATGTTTTGGATGGAGTTGGGGTTGGAAAGCTTTGTAATTCTACGGTGGCCTTCAGGAATTAAAAAAAAAAAAAATTATATGAAATACAAACTTTTTTTCAATTCTATCAAGTGGGATTTTGATTTTGCAAAATTAAGCATAATGTCATTTTTTTTGTTTTATGGTTAACTTTTAAAACATATTCCTGGATCTTAAATATCAGTTTAAATTTTTGGTTGAGTTGGTCCACTAACATGATATCAAGAGCAATGACGCAAAGGTCATGGGTTCGAATGAACGTTTGGTTCGTTAAATTGGAATGGAATACCTATCAATTCAGGTCAACGAGTTGGATTTGGGTCAAATTATCTATTTCGGATCATTTGGGGTCGAGTTTGGGTTATCTCTCAGTAAATCGGGCTTTGGAATCGGGTCGAGTTAGGTCGGGTTATTGGGTCAGGTCAAGAATTGACATGTCTAATTGATATGGAATCTCATATAAGGGAGATACGGATTCTAAACCCCATACTTGTCTAAATTGTTTGGTTTATTCTTTAGAATGACACTACTAGAAAACAGGTCATTTCCGACGGAAAATTTCCGTTGGAAACACCCTGAATTCCTAGGTCGGTGTTCTAGGAATAAACCGCTACTTCAAGTAGCGGTTTTAATTTCATACACCTTCGTTCAGGTACTGTGCTTGAGCTCAAGAGCTGCTCAAAATCATCATGAACCTTAGTTCTAGACCTGTGCAATAGGGTGGGACCCCATTGAAGGCCCTGACCCGACCCGAGCCAACCCTCCTTATAAAAGAGGAGTCCCACCCACTGCACAGGTCTACTTAGATCCCAGAGCTGCATAAAAGAATGTGCACCTCCATGTTCTTCTTCAAATCATACTCGCGAAAGAACATATGATTAATTAACACTAGCCAGCTAGCCTTTCGGTATCGGTCTCGTGAAGTATGTCAGATATTAGAATTTGTGGACTAGCCACCAAGTCATAAAGTGAAGATGTTATATAGATCAGAGCAACAACAAACATATGTGATAGAGTATAAAACATATTCTTGGACCACATCTATCAGATTAAGGTTTTGGTTGAGTTGGTCCACTAACATGGTATCAAGAGCGCAAAGATCATGGGTTCGAATGAACATTTGGTTCGTTAAATTGGAATGCAATACTTATCAATTCAGGTCAACGGGTTGGGTGTGAGTCAAATTATCTATTTTGGATCATTTGGGGTCGGGTTCGAGTTATCTCTCAGTAAATCGGGTTTGGAATCGAGTCGGGTTACTAGGTCGGGTCAGGAATTGACATTTCTAATTGATACGAATTCTAAACCTCATACTTGTCTAAATTGTTTGGTTTATTCTTTGGCATGGTTTCTAAAATTCATTCAAAGAAATGAATGGTGAATCTTAAGGGATAAGGTGGGTATGGGACTCTAGGGGATGGGGTGGAATTAAAACCCCTTGGTATGAGATTCCACACCTAAATTTGCCTAACCAAACAAAATAAAATGAATGGAATGAATTTTAACTTTATTCCAATTCATTCCAAAAACTCCAACCAAACGACCCTTAAGTAAAATGGATTGAAAACCTTAAAATAAAACGATAGATAAATTAAAAGAGAGGTAGGCAATTGTAACATTATTATAGTTATAAAATAATATAATTGTAATAGTTAGTAATTGTAAATTTGTAATAGTTACTTTTCAATAGTTAATTCTCCACAACCTAGAGTTTACTATATGTTCTATCATTCTATGGGGAATATATAGTAAACTCTAGGGTGTGTAGAATTCTCTATTGAGAAAGTATAGATTGTACTAGTCTAAGAGAGGACAGTGCCTATAAATAGGCTCCCCTTTCATTATGTGACATTTAGTTTTCACAAGCATCCTCACTCTATCACTCTAAAGCGTCATTTCTTAGTAATTTTCCGACGGGATTGAGAAGTTAGTAAATTGCATCCACATGACTCACAAGTCACAACAATATATCAATAAATTATTAAGACAAAATTTGCCAATAATTTACATAAATCAACACATGCTTTACAAATAAATTAATTAACGTGTGTTCTTCCAAATTGTGAACCTATTTAAATGTAATTGTTGCAAGGTTTGATGTAATGCTTATTTGTATTCATGTTGGTTAAAAAATAGTTAATGAGATTCTAAAACCATAATATTTAATCCATTCTCGAAAGTTCGACTCGCTTTTTATTTGGAGTCAAGCCTGAAAGTTTCCTATTTTGTAAATTTTTAAGTTTATCCATCTATCATAGTTAACCATGAGTTAAAGTATGAATAAGTCATTTTAAAAAAATTTCATATTACAAAGTAATTTAGCACGCTTCATCCTGATATCCGATAATAATACTTTTTATAGTTGAGATACACACGGTACTCTTTTAAATGTGCATTTGTAAACCTTTTAAGGGAATATTCCTACTCTTAGGAGCGATTCGGAAGGCAATCTCTTCATAAAAAAAGGCTTGCATGAAACCTCAATATATAGGTCTTAATGCAGTTTCCATCTTTCTCAGTTGAACGCCTAGGAGATTTACGTAGAAAACTATAATATATTAAACTTGTAGCCTTTGAACAGACTTATACTATGTACCTTACAATCACAGCTCTTTCAACGACAAATAAATTAAGCAAATCTATAACAACACTTTTTATCCAGTAAAACATAATTTTTATCATTTGTAATTATTTTTGATGTGATAAGGAATAATCCAATTATTGAAACCGACTAATGTGATATTTGCTTTGACTTAGGTGACTTTTCCTCTGTGCGTGAGTATTTGAAGTATATTATTATTATTATTATTATTATTATTATTATTATTATTATTATTATTATTATTATTATTATTATTATTATTATTATTATTATTATTATTACAAAAACCTACAAAGTCAAATGATTTACAAGAAATTAGTGGGGAGCCGAGATATAATCTGGGCCCCCACCCCTCTAGGTATAGCGAACCCAATCTTGTTGAAGATGTGAGCAGCCACACGAGCACCAATATCCTGAGTCCTAGCGAACGCCTGAACCCGCTTCAGCAACGCAACAGCATCCTTCTCTAATTCCCCCAATGAAGAAAAGGAGAAAGGAAGAAAACTATAGCCAATAGCCCTGCAACGCGCCCCATACTTGTCTCGCTTCCGCTGAGCCGCAGCCAATACAACACGACCAGGAACGAAGTCAGACAACCTAGAGTGTGTCAATGGAGAAGACCCCGTCAAGTCAACACATACATCTAGGCCTCTGTCCCAGGAGTAAAGCAACACATCTGCTGGCCGAAGAGCCCCGTCGTTCCCTCCAGTCAACCCAACGTTGACCTCCTTCCTTGCAGAAATCCCAGAGCTGAAACAAATATCAACAAGGGTACCACGAACCACGTTGTGCCGATGTTTAATACCCACCATCCCAGCACAAGACACTGCATGATCCCCATAAATGTCCCCATCAAAAACCCTTGAGCAAGCAGAACAAGGTGTCGAAACGGAGAACAAGGGAACACCCAACCGAGAGCAAAGAACACAATGGTAAGTCTTACCATTCATAGTCTGACCCAAACCTGATATCGGGACCACTCGCAACCAGGCAGAAGTGTGATCCCCCTGCTGTGACTTCCATAAGGCAACCTGACGCGGAGATAAGGAGAAAGTGGATTCCACAGATGCAGTGACCTACGTGAAATATATATCTGCCAATTTCTTCATGAATTTGGGGGCAGCGATCTCACTAGGGTTACGCAAAAGGTCAGTCTCCACAGTCCTATTAAAAAGACTAAGAGCGCCATCGAAGGCCGGACTTGGACCAACAATACCAGAATTGCGAAGAAGCGAAGCCTGAAGACCAGAAGACTACAAACACGACGCAAGGAAGACATAGTATCGAACATCACCCGCTGAATAGACACCCGATCCACCATAAGAAAAAGGTAAGGTGGCAAGTCGCCATTGCCAATCACCAAAACCTGGCCCCGAAGCAGTTACAATGCGCTCCAAAGAACCCCGAACGGCCACATCAAAAGAAATCTGGGCCGCTTCAAAAAGACGAGGAGGACAAGTGCGCATAGAAAAGTAAAGTTCTGACACCCTAGTACACGCACGAAGCAGTAACAACTCACATTGGGGATCCTCAAGCTTAGCAACAGCATCCATAAGCACAATGGTCTTATTATTATCATTATTATTATTATTTTTATATGGTCAAATTAAGATTTATTAAACGTGTTAAAAATCCTTATGAAATAAGAAAAACAAGATCGTGGGAGTTTATAACTAATGTAGCTTTTTTTGGCAATTATGATAACAACCAATCGGACTTTCCTGAAAAAAAAAAGTCTAAATAAAGCGTTATTTCATTCTAATGTCCTGAAGAATTTTACAAAAGAACATATCATATCCATGACTTTTTGCTGAATTGTTTAAATTTTCTATTATTACATATTATGACATGCAAAAGAGGCTAACAAGTTTTATTTAGTGACATTGTAGACAGTTAAATAAGCTGTTTCAAGAAAGCAATTATTAATCAGATAAATCAGACGAGGTATGACTGTAAGTAATTAACTTGGTGAATTAGATGAATTACAACTTCACCATCTTCAAGGAAACCGGTCCATTTAGGCAAGGCGTCACGAATGTTGTATTATCTCTTTCTTCCTCTTCTTGTTTCTTGCCTTAATGAGCCAATCCTCAAAATTAATCTCATGAGGTATCGAGCCCTAGACGACTGAATCCGTTAAAAATAATTGAGGTGAATTGGGCTTACCACTTAACCTATAATGTTTACATTATACCCTCAAAGCAGAGTAAGCAGAGAGAAAATAAATGAGCAATAAAGAACAATGACACACTATCAAACAGGCTGGTTGCTATACCACATTTCATTTCGGATGCATGACATAATAATACTCCAATTATCGGAACAATTCTACCTTTTATAATCTGTTCATTTGATATCTGATAGAAAAGGGGCTAATTAGCCAACCTTAGAGTATAGTAAATTACGGAGTAGTAATGCTATACAGAAGTATATGATGAATGATATACAAGGATTATACTTTATGGCATGTACACTCTACACATACTGTTATACAGACGTTATGTGTTACAGGCTACCAGACACGGAGTCATTCAGCAACCAGACCAGGTTCACCACAGAAAGCATCAGGCTCAAATGATCTAGCAGAAGCATCATTGTAAACTCCAGCTACAACCCGATCTCCAGCTTCATTTGAAAATTTCCAGAGTTCCTTCTGGCTCCCTTCATAATTTATTAAGAGAGCAACACTTATAAATAAAGATATTGCGAGTGCAACCAGTGAGTTTTTCAACCTGATTAGAACCGGCTTCACCTGGAAATCAGACACGGATGTAGATAATGGTAAGAGTGCAACTACCCCTGGCCCCAAATAAAGAGTGAAGAAAGAATAAAAGGCAAGATGAAGACTCCATCTCAGACCCAATTTTTGTTGACAGAAACAGTTCCAATGCCTACTACTACTATATCAAAAAAAGACTCCAATCCACATATTGTATTAGCAAAGAATCCATTTTCAGATTGTTCACATACACAAGTGGAAGTTAAGCATGCTCAAGAACATTCATCTAGCATACAACGTGGGCAATTAAAACAAGTGTAGAACCAACTTGACTTTCCTACAAAAACGTGTAAATTGTTTTTTCTTTCTAATATCCTGAACAAATTTACAAAAGAACATTTCATATCCACGACTTTTTTGTTGATTTTTTAATTTTCTATTCATCTTATATTTTGGCATGCAGAAGAGTCTAACAAGTTTTATTTAGTGATATTGTAGACAGTTAAGTAAGCTGTTTCAAGAAGCAATCATTAATCAGAAAATTCAGACGAGGTATGACAGCAAATTCTGCTTTCCTTCTTTCAAAAGCAAATGTCACAGTTTCTCGTGGGAATTATTTTCCCCAAAAAAATACAAGTATGGAGCATATAAGAGCCAAGGTCTATGATTTAAATTTGTTACAATACTTTGAAAAATGACAATTATGTTGGGCTGTTTGCGAACACTTCAAAATAGCCGGCGAGTCAAAAATTAATGAACAAAGACAATTCAACGTAAAACAAATGAGCTGCCATGAAAGTGGCAAAAGCCTCACATGTTATTATATCAAATAACAAGATTCTACCATTGTAGACCTTGATCTTCAGAGGATGGGAGTTTAGGTCTGGAGAGTCTTTTTTCATTTTCTTTCGATTTATCTTATGTTCTCCCAAATGGTAATTTATGCATATCAAGTTACACCATTGTACTCCATACTTCTTTCAGAATATAATACAGATTTTTTTTCCTAACTTCTAATCAAATGAACATATATCATTGAACATGAAGTTATAGTCATACAACCTCAACAACCCTGCAAAGCATATCTATACTAATAACTTCAACAAACCATTGGTGTACATGTGATGTGTCACTCACTCCTACACCTTCATGGCTTCACCTCCCTTAAAAATAAAAGGGGAAAATTGAAGCAGACCTAAAAAATACCTCTAGGGATGTGACCTAAAACCCTTCTTGGACTCCATCATTTATAGCTTCTTTAACCAGCACTTCTCTCTCTTCACCCCATAAGAAGCTCGATCAAAACAATATGTGCAATATAAAATGAAATAACAAACCTGAAATGAGCCTAAGAGGCGATCACGTGCCAAAATCTCAGCAGTCTTGACCCATATCTGCAATGACACAGAACAAATTTGAATTTTGTAATCTTTTATTCAAAAAAGATTTGCACTCAGTCAAAAATTTGTTTTACTTTTTGTCTTGATGAGGGGATAAAAATAAGCGATTAGTGAGTTCAACAAAGCAAAAGCAAACAGTCACACAGAGAATTCCTAATTTAATAGACAGAAATTTACTTAATAATAATTTATTTATTTTTCTTTTTAAAAAAAAAAGTAACATATTTTCTTAAAGTCATTACCATAATAAATGGTGCCCATTCCTAATGTATCACTACTCCCTGTTCCAGTTATGTTTCCTAGATATTTCATGCACAAACTTAAATAGACGTTCCAGCCTCCCGTCAAAAAAAAATTAAAAAATAAATAGACGTTCCAGCCTACTAGTGCAGGCATCTTCATTTCTGCTACCCAATAAAATAACCCAACATCATACTTCAGTTAAATCAGAAGTTGGAAGAAGGCAAAGAACAACATTTCCCCTACTGTCTTCTCATTGATAGCTCTAAACAGCAGGGTGGCTTCACTAAGAGTAAGCACTGCATTCAGCTCTTTAAATGTTCACGGCATATTCTTGTAGAATAGAACTCCCTGGGTTGATCAGAATTCATATATTGTCCTCTACCAAATGGCATTAGTTCAAGCCTGAACATTCAGAGCTTTCTGTATTTTGAAACGTTCAGCCTTCCTCTGCTTCTTTAAACAGTTTCATGACTGTAAGTAATTAAATTAAACAGAATTTTGATACTACCAGAAATGGTCAAATTTGGATCCTACTTTGGAGGTTTGGATTCATTAGGAGGGTCCTTAGGGTCAGATCATAAAACTGAATAGAGAAAGCTAAATCTTACTAAAAAATTTATAGACAGACAAGTATCTCATTGAGAAACTTCTATTAACAAATTAAGTTCAAGATATCCCAGGAGTGGTTACAGCTCAAATTTATATTACAAAATCATGATCAAGTTGTCTATATACGTCACCAGAAACTAATATTCATAGCAAATTGCAAAGAAATAAAAACAATTTCTATTCATTAGACAATGCTATATGATCTAGCACCATAAATGGTACTACAGCTACTACTCCAATCCCAAACCGCAGTAACTTTCTTTCTGAATAACAGATTTTTATACAGCAAATTTGATAACTAGGTCAGCATCCTAAGCCATTCAAACTCAATTCCTCAAAAAACCCATGACTTTGATTGTGCCTTAGTGAACTAGATAAATTACAACTTCCCCATCTTCAAGGAAACCGGTCCATTTAGGCAAGGCGTCACAAATCTTGTATTATCTCTTCCTTACTCTACTTGTCTCTTGCCTTAATGAGCTTAATGACTCAATCCTCAAAATTAAGAGGTATAGGGCCCTAGACACTAATTGAATCTATTAAACTAATTGAGGTGACTTGGGCATACCATTTAACCTATAATATCACGCTTAAACCCTTACAAAGATATGAACATCCAACTCAAAATTTGAGATACTTCCCACCAATTTCATAACTGAAGAGGATACTAAATCCCTAAAACATAAACTCATGCATTAACTCAAAAAACACTACACATCTTATACTAGAAACCTCTTTTTTGATAGATAGCAACCATAGGAATTCAAGGCACAACAAAGAAGAGTAGAAGGAGAAAAACATGTTGCTTTTATCTAGATGAAAGCACAATGATCATGGGACTCTATATTAGGATTTTTACCAAAGAACCTAGGGTTCAGCTACTCCTTTAATCCTCGAAAGTAAGGCATAAGCTTCTGCATCAGATAAAAGATACCAACTGAGCTTGCACATCACAGTGTTAGCAACCCCGGGGGTTACTCGATCATTGTCCTGATATTCAAACAACTTTTTTCTCCTGGTTTTCAATGATGATAACTATGCAATAATTGCTCTAACACTAAGGAACTGAGATGAGTGATGGATGTTGCTTTCAAAATTTTCAAACCTCAAAAGAAACTAGCTCCTCAATTTCTCTCAATGATCCCTAGAAATCAAAAAGACCCATGTTCGCCATTCACAAACTACACCTTCACCCATAAACTCACTACATTTTGCCATTACAATTTTCCATGTATAACTCCAAAGTTTACAAGGGCTCAAGAAGACAAAATTATTTTTGCAAATTAACATAATCCAATGCAATTCGTAATAATATTATTCAAATAACAATAAATAAAAAAACTCGAAGTATTAATTACTCAGTTTCATTCAAAAAAAGTTCCTACTTTTCATTTCAATATTTCAATCAACTTTCCTAAATTCTCATTATCTCTTCCAAACATTAATCTTTGAGAAAATTCAACTAGAACCAATAGAAATAAACAATATGTGAGAGCAAAAAATATACCTGACCATCATACCATCCTGTCTCCTCATCTGAAATCAAACAGAAAACACATTCATCAGACACATACCCACAAATCAATACATTCCCCACCCTCCCCGAGGCCAAATTAAGCAATAATGCGCATCATGCTCTCGAATGAACATACAATTCAAATTCAGAAAAACACTAGTAAATATAGAAGATCACATTACATTCAACAGTGGCACTGAGTAAGCGATTGCCCACATAAGCCCAACCCAAATACATCCTCAAAACAGCCAAAGTAACAACAAACAAACCACTCGTAACCGAACCCAAAACCACTTTAACCGGGTCATGATCAAACCCGACTGACCCAAACCAAGAAACGGGTAATCCTACAAGAAGACCAAAGGAAAGACCAGTGGCAAACAATCTAGAAGCATATTCAACAAGATCGCCTGATGCCCATGAAAAAGGGAAGGAATTTGATAGATTTTGGTATTCATTAATGGGTTGTTGATCTAATGGAACAGGACACTCTGTTCCTGGAGGGGTGCTGTAATTTCTGAAGAATTTTGAGGGGTTAGGGTTTAAGGGAAGATTGAGTGATCTTTTTGGGGGAAAATTGAGGGTTTTGGATGAAGGTAGGAGAGAGAAAGGGGTGGAAAAAAGGAAGAGAGATGAGGGTGAAAGAGTGGATTTTGGTGAGTTGAAGGAGGTTTTGGCCATGGCTTTAAAAGCCATTATCTGAAGAAGCAGAAATTTCTGCCAAAATTTTGCCAGAGCTATAGTTGGTCATTCTTGAGACAAAAAGCTATATTTAGCCTTGGTTTAGTTTAACTTATGTTTACTCATTTTAGAAAAAATAAATTCAGATCAGATCATTCTTTTATGTGTAATTTTTTATCGTTAAATATCTTTAATTTCGTAATGAAAAAAATTATGAAAATTACATATTAATAAAATACACATTATTACAAATCTAACAAGATCACACTTGATATATTTCTTCCTTACAAATAATAATAAAAATATAGTCTTTTGGGTACTTGTTGGAATAGTCTCAATGAATAGATTATTAATTTTCAATTGTTATAATTTATACTTATTGATAACTAAAAATATTATTGATCAAAGATTAGCATCGGTATACGTGCCCAAGTGAAATGGAGTAAGTATTTAAAAACGGAGAGAGTATATTTCTTCGAGTTACTGATTTTTTCTGAATTGAAATTAATTTCTCTAAATAGAAAAAAAAATTTATTAAACTAAAAAAAAATTTACTGAATATTTTTTTAAAAAAGGTGAAATGAACAAGCCCTTACAGTTATTACATTTGTGCACGAGTACAAGTACTTGGTCAGATTACAGTTCTATTCCAACAAACACTTTTAAAGTTAAGAACCCAAACTCGGGTCGAAAAAAGCCCGACAAGCCTATCATATTTTGTGGATTAGGCATGACATTTGATGTTAAGGCTCGGTCTGAATTTTTAATCACCTTTACGTCATTCTTATGAGTTATGACTCATGAGAGAGCGGCAAGGCAAGAACAATTATGTAAACAGTACGAGACTTGATTTCCAGGATTAATTGTTTTGGATAATACCTCCAAGATTTAAACTAACTAAGCCAGGACTTGTATGTAAGAGGTTTTAATAGTCATTGTTCACTGTACGTACTTCTTTATAAAGCATAGTTATTGATTCAAACTTTGGATTTTTTCCAATGTAAGCTCTATTATAAAACTATTTTGTAAAGTAGACTCGTGGCCAAACTATTTACCAAATTAAGCTTTTAGGGTAAAACGCTGTCTTGGGCAGCGTTTTATACCCTGGTTTTTTTTAAAAAAAATCAATGTGTTTTTTTTAAAATTTCGTAATTTTTAATAATAAAGAAATAAAATAAATAAAAGTTACACTAAAACGCTGACTAAGTCAGTGTTTTTAGTGTTTTTTTTTTTTTAAATTTCGTAATTTTTTATTAAAAAAAAAATTACACTAAGCGTTTTTAGTGTAAATTTTTTTTTTTTTTAAATTCTTAATTTCTGATTTTTTTTTTTTTTAAAAAAAAAAGTTGCACTAAAAACGCTGACTGAGTCAGAGTTTTTCGTGTAAATTAATTTCTGATTTTTATTTTTATTTATTTTAAAATCAAAAATTACGAATTCTTTTAAAAAAAAAAGTCAACATGTAAAACGCTTTCTCAGACAACGTTTTACACTTTGATTTAAAAAAAAATCAAGGTATAAAACGTTGTCTCACACAGCGTTTTACCCTAGAAGCTTAGTTTGGTAAATAGTTTGACCACGAGTCTAGTTTACAAAATATAATAATTGTTTCGTACACCCAGGTTTGGGTAGTAGCATGGTACACCCGAAAGAACATCACCCTATGAATAAAAGAACATTATCTATAAATAAAAGAACATTACATATAAATAAAAGAACATTGCCTATAAATAAAAGAACATTACTTATAAATAAAAAAACAAAAAATCATAGTTATAATAATTTATTATACATTACAAATGAACATACAGTACATCAAAAAGAACGTTACATATAAAATATAGAACATTACATACAATAAAAGAACATAACTTAAAAATAAAATAACATTACATATAAATATAAAAGAACATTATCTTTTTGAAAAAGAACGTTACATATAAATAATGGAAAAATGCTACTACCCAAACCCATGGAAGAAGATGATGAACAACAATGGTAGTGCCAAAAATTCAAACAATCAAGTAATTTCATGATAATAAAGCTTTATATGAACAACAAACATTATCACAAAACACAAAATATAGGTAAAAATAACAAGCAAAGAGAAAGTTCACTATTGAAACACAACCTAGGGTTTCATATTCATGAAGTAGAACAAAGATGAACAAAGAAAGAGAAGTCATACCTCAAATGAGTAGAAAACCCTTGTAAAGTGAATTAATAGTGGAAATCAAGCAAGTTGAACACTCAATTGCAAGTTTTTTAGCCAAAATAAAAAATACCCAAAATTCTCAAATCATGAAAAATCCGAAAATTTGGTTGTGAAATTCGGATTTTGGAGTGTAAAATCTAGTGTAAATGTGTTTGTGAGTGATGAATTAAGCACATAAAAACTATAGAAATCAAGAAATAAAATGGAAGAATAAGTTAGAGGGAGACGAGGAGAGTATCGAAAAGAGAAAACGAATGAGTGAAATGAACATTACATATAAAATAAAGAACATTACATATAAATGAGGCTTCATAAAAAAAACATTACATATAAATAGAAGAACATTAAATTTGTCCCAATGTTCTTATATTTATATGTAATGTACTTCCGGGTGTACCATGCACATGGTCACCCCCTCCCACCCCCCCCCCCCCCCCTCTACCATACTATTTTCATACAAAATAGTTTTGTAATTAGATTCACTTTGGAAAAAAACCCCAAACTTTTCCCACATAAACTACATGAAAAATACTTAGAAGGGTGTTTAGTTCATCAAATTAAAATGAATTATATACTTTATTAATAGAATGTTTGAAGAATCATATCATATTCAAGACAATTAAACTATATGCAAATACATGTACCCAAAAGTTTACTTTATTACATACATACCCAAATTTCTTTTTTTAGATTCCTTAATTTCTTACCCTAGTTTCATTTCGATGTTTTTTTCCTCTCCTTTTTGTCTTGAGTTGAGTCCTAAGCTCCCTAACCCATATATTCTTTCAATTTTTTCACTTGCATAGGAAATGTGGGCAATTGGTAATGAGGCAAGTAAATAAGAATCGAAAAGTAAATATATTAAAACAAAATTTAGGGTGTGTATTATACTATTATTCACTTATCATAAACAATATTTTTTCCTAAAAAAGACCTATTTTAACTAGTTTAGGTGTACAAATTAGCTTAGATCTTACTTTAGCTAAGCTAAACTTTTAAGAAATTATTTTTCCTTGATCCAAATTATTTGATCTTGTTTATCCAAAATTACATTTCTTTTTAATAATAATAATAATAATAATAATAATAATAATAATAATAATAATAATAATAATAATAATAATAATAATAATAATAATTGGGACTGGGCGATGCTCCAGGTCATTACTTGAGGTTGATCATTAACATACGCTTTAATTTCTGACTAGATATTAATATTTTGTATTCAACATAAAATGTTATATAGTTTGGTGGTAAGACACTCAATACTAAAATTAGAGGTAGCATGTTCAAATCTTGTAGAGATTTTTTTTTCAAATGATACTCTTCCCTATTTGTCCCAAGAAAATTCTAACAAAAGTAATTAGAAATACATCATTAGTTGACAGAAGCAATAATGTCACGCACATTGAGACCTGTATACAGTGGCGGATCTTGGCCGAAAATATTAGAGGAGCCGGAATTTAAATATTTAACCTCTTGTTCAAAACTAATCACTATGTCCCAATATTTTATAGGTAAATATAGGTTATTTTAGTTCATTAACTAATAACTTACAATAATTTATGGGAGGCCGGGCCCCGAATAACTCCGGTGAAAGTTCCCCTCTGCCTGTATATTAAGGTTTCATACTAGTTCTCCTTTATGAAGACATAGCACTTCGAATTGCTATGATAAAGGCTAAAAATTGCTAATAAAGAATCTTTCTAGACTCCTTTATTATGAATAAATCCCGACAAACATGAACACCAAATGCAGTATTTGATTTACCAATTCTCCAACAAGTGTATTGAAAGTATGGGGTTGTTTATGAAAATCCAACAATCTATGTTCAACAAAATTGTGCCACTCCATTCTTTGGACCTTAAATAATATACATACACCACTATCTCAACCTCCTGCACATGCCCGTAGCTAGTCCAGACAGCCGAGGCGCTTGCCCAAGGCACACAGATAGAGAGGGCCCATTTTCTCTAAACTTGTAAGTCAATAGTGTTAGGTTACAAAATATATGTGTGTATATTTAATAATGTTTTTGTATGTGGTTTGGTAGTTAGATGACTTGAACTTTACTCCACATTCACGTAGATTTTAGATTCGATATACATCTTATTTTCTTCATTATTTTATATTGAAAAATGCATACTTCTAGTATTTTACCATTCTACTAAAGACACATTGAAATAGAGCAATATAATTATCATTTTCGACTCTATTATTATAAATATGTATTTGCAAAATTCCTAAGCTATTGGAGTGTGAACAAATAAGTGATCAATTTCAATTGCTAGAGAGGATCAATCATGATGTTATTTTATTTTCGGCAATATTATATACTCCGTAGTATGCATTTTAGAACACCTAAACATTTTTTAAAAATTAGATTGTAATGTATTTTATAGCAACTAAAACTAGATTATTTATTCAAATAATTAAATTAGGTACGATTATAGTAATAGGGCCCCAATTTAATTTATCGCCCATGGGCGTCCGAAATCTCATAAACTGCCCTGCTACTGCATACCCTCGAGAAAATTAATATTAACACACTCATAATCATGCAGGAGTGAAACATAACCAAGTCCATAAATCAATTATTTATACATAAGCTGATAAGCACCATGACAAGGGTTATAAATGATAAAAATTGCTCCATTATAATCAAAGAATGAAAAAAAAAAGGCACAATATAATAATGTGTTGCATATACCCATTAATCACCAGAATGGCTTGCCTTCAAAACTACTTGATCAAACATATCACACAAACCATGTTGCTCAAGAACCTTAAATCAACAATATTATTATTATTATTATAGCCATTAAATTCCTTCTCAAATTTATCACAAAAATCAAGATTATTAA